AATCAACAATTTGTTAATTCAGCTAGGCCTCATTATATAAATGGTAGTAAGGCGTCTTTAAACTTCCAGGGGGTGCCTCGTTAAGGGGCTGGGACGACGAGCACCCCTCTGTTTTTGCTGTTGGTTCTGCTTCGAACTTTCGTTTGAAACCCTTAGCCCCTCGCCAACCCCTGCTATTTTGTGAGCTTGAAGGTGTGCAGGTTCCAGTTTTAATTGATACTGGTTCCATGAAATCCCTGCTCAGTTCAAGTGTCTTTCAGCGTATTTCTGCACGCTGTGCACACCAAAACAAAGCCCCTCCTCCACTTCGAAGCATATCCAACAGTTGTGTTTCTATTACAGGACAGCCGCTAAATTCTTCAGGTTCAGCAGATATTTCTTTGTCTTTTCCGGGAAGCCAATTTTTGTATGTAGGAGAGTTCTTGGTATGTGATAATGTGCTTGCCCCTCTGCAATGTGTACTTGGTTGGGATTTTTTTAACCTTTTATTCTTTGCAGTTGACTGTTATAGGGGATTCCTATTGCCTTGTTGGGCCCCATGGCAGCACACCTTTGACCCCTTTGTCTCTTCCTGTCCAACCTCCACCCCCAGGTCTTTCTGCCCCTGTCAATTCATCTTGTAAGGAAGATATACCTGTTTTTGTCCAATCATCAGACTATGGGCCTGTCTTTGTGACCTTAAGCACTGATATATCCATCCCAGGTAGAACAGAAAGTGTTATACAAGCTCAAATCCCCAAGAGTTGTAAAGAACAAATAGGCATGGTCTGTAGCCTCAGTGGAGATTCTGAATTACCTTATATTACTGCATACAGTATTAGTCAAGCCTCTGAGCGGATGATACCAGTGAGAATTCTCAATCCGTCCAAATCTTCTGTTGAACTTCATGCAGGACAAAAAATAGCTAGGTTTTGGCCAGTTATACCCTCAGCCTCATCTAGTCCACCTATACACAACATGTGTGCTAGTGTTCAAAACAATAAGTTTGATTCAGTTACCTTGTCTGAGTTACATGCAGCTATTAGTCCTAATCTTAGTAAGTCAGATCAGAAACAGATTCTTGAGACATTGCTTTCTTTTCCAGATGTTTTTAATGATGGTTTAGGCCATACCTCGGTATTATCTCATAGTATAAATACTGGTGACTCTTTGCCAATAAAGCAGCATCCACGACGGTTGCCTTATCATTATAGAGGAGAAATTCATAAACAGGTTAATGAAATGTTAGAAAAAGGGGTTATACAACCAAGCACTAGCCCTTGGGCGTCTCCGGTCGTCCTTGTTAAAAAGAAGGATGGGTCCTATAGATTTTGTGTTGATTACCGCAAGCTAAACCTTGTCACCAAGCAAGATGCTCACCCCTTGCCTAGAGTAGATGACCTTCTTGACTCTCTAAATAACAACAAGCTCTTTAGTACTCTTGATCTCCGCAGCGGTTACTGGCATGTAAGTATGACCTCAGAAGATAGAGAAAAAACAGCTTTTATTACCCCTGGTGGCCTATTTGAATTCCTTCGTATGCCATATGGATTATCAACAGCTCCAGCAACATTTTCTAGGGCCGTTGGCATTATCTTATCAGGTTTAACCTATGATATATGCCTTTGTTATTTTGATGACGTAATCATTTTTTCTGATACCATTGAACAACACTGTGAACGTTTAACATCTGTTTTGCAACGCTTTCGTGAAAATGGGCTGCGTGTCAAGGCTTCTAAATGCTCTTTTGGTGGCAATCAGGTCATTTATTTAGGTCACTGTGTCTCAAGTAAAGGGGTTCATACTGATCCATCTAAAATTAAGGCTGTGCAGGATTTACCCCCACCAACTGACCTGGACAAGCTTAGATCATTCTTAGGACTAGCAGGGTATTATAGGCGTTTCATCCCTCAATTTGCAACCATGGCAGCCCCTTTGACTGAACTTACCAAGAAAGGTATCCCGTTTAAGTGGACAGAACAGCACCAGACTGCTTTTGAAACACTAAGAGCACTCTTATGTTCTGCTCCCATCTTGGCGTACCCTCAGTTTGATCGACCTTTTATTTTGCAAACTGATGCATCAAATGTTGGCCTTGGTGCTGTATTAGCGCAATTAGATGATAATGGCCATGAAAGGGTTGTATCTTATGCCAGTCGGACCCTATCTCCTCGAGAGCAAAATTATTCCACCATGGAAAAGGAAGCCCTGGCTATTGTCTTTGCCACTCAACACTTTCGTGTTTATCTTGTAGGCCATGCATTCCAGATTATCACTGACAATCAGGCCCTTAAATGGTTGCATACTGTAGAACCTAAGGGTCGTATTGCCAGGTGGCTCATGGATCTCCAAGAATTTGATTTTACAATAAGCCACAGACCTGGTAGCTCCAACCAAAATGCAGATGCTCTCTCTCGTTTAAATCATTACCAAAATAGTCAAACCAACCCTGCTGTAAGTTGTTTAGTGAATTTATTACCAGATGCAAATCTGCATCAAGCTCAGCGTGCTGACCCGCATATATTGAAGGTTATTGAAATTAAGGAACAAGGTTTTCCAAAACCCCCTTCATTTGTGTGGAAAAGGAACCCCAATCTTTCATCTTTTTGGAGTTGCTGGGATCAACTGTATGTCAGTAATGGGCTGCTGGTAAGGGCCTTGGTATCTAAGCATGGGTTTTCTAGGGAACTTGTGGTTATACCTGATAGTTTAATCCCTAATATTCTCCAAAGTCTTCATTGTGGCCCATCTGGTGGACATATGGGCATTAGGCGCACTATAATGCGATGTAAGGAACGATTTTTCTGGCCTAAAATGATTGATTCTATTACCAACTTTGTTCAAAATTGTCCAGCTTGTAGCCAAGGAAAACATGATTCCAAACAGACACGAGCTCCTTTGCAACCCATTCAAGTCAGTGAGCCATTTGTTTTTTGGGCAATAGATTATATGGGACCTATCTCTGAAACTGCTAGGGGTAACAAACATATTCTTGTCATGATGGACCACTTCACCAAATGGTGTGAGGCATTCCCAACAAAGGATCAAAAAGCCGCCACTGTAGCCAATACACTTGTCTCTCGTGTTTTCTCCAGGTTTGGTCCACCGACGGTCATCCACTCAGACCAAGGACGGAATTTTGACAGTACATTAATGCATGAAATTTATAACATCATGGGGGTTAAGAAGTCACGAACAACAGCCTATCATCCGCAGGGTGATGGGTTGGTTGAAAGGCAAAATCGCACCCTGCAGGACATACTTAGTAATTTTGTATCAGACCATAGTGGTGACTGGGACCAATGGTTAGACCAGGCCGTCTTTGCCTATAACACAAGTATACATGAATCAACAGGTTTCTCTCCTTATGAGTTAGTTTTTGGGCACCCAGCACGCATGCCCATTGAAATTGAGTTAAGTGTACCTCTGCAAAATCCATCAAGCCAATCTGATTATAGTCAGTCCTTACGCAAGGCTATTCAGAATGCCAATCAGATAGCTCAGAAAAACTTAGAAATAGCTAGATCTAGACAGAGTATGCATTATAACAACAAGACCCTCAAAGAATGGCAACCTTTTGATATTGGACAAACGGTTTGGCTATGGCGCCCCAAAAGCTGGAAGTTTGGTAGGAAATGGGTTGGGCCATACCAAATCTGCACTCGACGTGGGGTTAACTATAACATCAGGTCAAGCAATGGCAAATTTCTTGTAGCCCATCACAATCAACTCAAGGCTTGCCCTTTGCCCCTGGGCCAGGGTCAACCATTCCATCCAGTCCCTGAAACTCCAGGGATAATTCCTAGGGAGGGTTTTCCAGTTATCCAGCATGAAGAGATGCAAGGAGTTGTTCAAAGGGGTACTGCCAGACCACCTCACCTTCGTCAGGTCATTAATCCCCCCCAACGTTACGGAGAGGTTGTTGCACATTAACACAAACCAACCTTTGCTACACTCAACATTGTAAGGGAGGGGAAGGTGTAATGTACTAGCCTGTAATCAATCTATATGTCATCATCTCTGTATCATGTTTGTAATGTACTGCTGTCACTATGCTTTGTACTCTGTTGTTGTTGATTGATTGTAACCAGATTCGTGTATTATAAGTAATTGTAATTAACAATGTAAGTTAGTCGGGATTCAGAATATGATGAATACAGGCGTATAAACCAGTGTCTTTTATTAGCGTTAACGCTACATAACCTTGTTTTATAAAGTTGTAAAAGTTCTTTGATTGAAGATACGGTTTAAGTTCCCCACTTTTTTTAGACCCCCCACTTTTCTCAACGCTCCGCGGTGACTGGGAAAGGAGGAAACACAGTAAGGACTGCAACCATTTTATTATTAAGAATTTGATATCTAACATTTAGCATCTACGAACGAAAAGGCGGAAAATTATGTTCCTATGTTTGAGGTGACAGGGCCAAAAGTGGATTTCGTTAAATATGATTGGACATATGATTGGTTGGAGGAACATTGAAACACTGATAGTCTTTGCTACCTTATCTGGGGTGCATTACAGATTATGGTTTGTGGCGAAGTCCAGCAAATTGTTATTGCAGATAAAAGCAGTTCACGATGTTGAAGTACTCGTAAAAGGGTATCATCAAAATATCCATGGATATTGAAACATGCTCTAGAATGAATTCCTGAACTAAAACACTTAACTGTTGGAAAACCTTTAAAAACTTTGATTCGATGACGAAACAATGACAAAATGTCTAGAGAAGAAACCGAAAATAAGCTCGTAATGAGAAAGGCCAATAAGGTAATTTCTAGACAGTCTCCACAAGACGGCTATGTTTAAAGAAGTTTGAGTTGTTTCTTTCTGAGACCATCAGGATTTCTGAAGAGACATAGATGATCTCCCGAATGAAGTGAAAGATGACTGTATTGAGATTACTGGGTAAAGTTCTCTCCATGACTTTTGAACCATGGTTAACCTGTAGTTTGTTACTTTTAAACAGGGAACTGAATGGGTAACAAATAAATAGGGAGGAGGAATATGAATTTTATTCTGCAAACACTAACATAAGCAAGAATGCAGATATTTTAATAAAGACAAAATGCCTTGGTGGAAATTTCAGAAATACTGGATAATGATTATAACCTCAAAGTAACCAGCTGGGCGAGCTTAAAGGGGATAGAATTCTCATGACCAAAGAAAACACGATGAACAGTTACCGCAAGACATACCATCAATTCTTTTGACAAAATCTTCGCTTAATTCACGTTGTTTCCCCGCAGACCTAAATTGTATCGATTAAAAGATCCATCATGTTTTAGATAAAAACTTTTCAATTAGCAAAACAATAAGATCAACTTATTCAATTCATTTGCTTGACCTAACGGCGAGGCAATCAATCCGCTTACACGGATATTTGTTTCGTTTTCCAATCACTCTTTGATTCTGCCTAACCCTGATGGTTTGTCAATCCAAGGACAGACGATAACATCAATGTAAAATGAGAAGGATATCAGACAAAATTAGCAAAAATGTCCAGATTTGATAAAGGAAATGAAAACCATTATCGGTTGTTAAAATATCTGGAAATTATACATCAGTTCGTTCTCAAGATTACCAACCATCTGTGTCTTTCTATAAAAACCTTTCTAATTAGAGAAAAAAATGCAACTGTTTCGTAATAGACAACTTCAAGGTTCTCTTATCCTCAACTCAATAACTGACTTACAAAAAATCCATCGTCTGCTACCATTTTTTGCGAATCAAGCAGTTAAATTAGGAACATTGATACTTAGGAAAATTAATGCTTGATTTATAAAACTAATTCTATGTACATACAGTTGTGTACCAGGGGATACAGAACAAATCCGAAGGAGGGGCAAGTGATCACAAAGAGTGCCAATAAATCGGCGACGAAGATAGATTGTTTATTTCGTTTGGATATATATAATGTACACTTCTTAATAACTGAATGAGAACTGTACTGTATAAATGTCATGAACGCCGTTTTCAATAATAAGTTCACTGCAAAATGATCTACGGTTAACTCAGGAACTGACAAAACAACTCTGACTGGATAAAAATAGACTTGCGATTAATCTAGATGAAGGAAATCCGAGGCAAAGCTAATTAAGACAGCCAAACGTCGCCTGATGATAAAAGGCCTGGACATATTTTTGGTAACAAGAGAATAAATGTTATAGAATAAAAGTCAGTCAATATATGTTCCTAAAACTGAAGCTTAGACTGAATGTATCAATCTCCACATCAAGCCCCATTCCCAAAGTTTCCCTTGTCAACCATTATCAAAAGCTTTTTTGCAATTCTATTTATCAAAAAACTAAAAAGACTCATTATTAACAATAAGCCATTGCACTGTGCATGCATCCCATAATGCATTTCAGGCAATCGTGAATAAATTTTGGTCGATCCGTGGAAGTTTACCGCCATTGTTAGGATCGGCGCCTGGATAATTTGCCAAGCATGCAAATGGTTGGTTATCAGGCTAGCAAAAGCTCGTTGTTAGCAAAAAGTCTCTAACAGTCTAGAGAAGATGAGTCTTTCTTGTAGTTTATAACTGTGAGAAAATATGAACTTTATTTCATTACAGATTTCCAGATAGTCAAAGTATATTGTACAAAGCAGAATTAAATACAGAAGGATTTACAAATTGCTGAGGTTATGAAGCTTGCATAAATCTTTAATGGAATACAAAAACGTCACTATAGCTGTAAATAAATTAGACTGCAGTATTTCTATCGAATGTGCCCCAACTTACGTTCTTTAGACAAGCTTTTGAGTCTTCGACAGAGTGACAGAGGGCAATTTACCCCTAGATACCCCAGATATGCATAAAGAGCGTTAGATAAATTCTCTTAAATGTCTTAATGTCTCAAAAACAACAGAATTTAGTTTACAATGTAATTTCAGTATATCTTTGGATCTTGTTGCTCAAGGAAACACGAAAATATAGTTATCGTCTTCGATTTTTGCTTTTGACATAAATCAGCCAATATTACTACGATAGGGCTTGCTTCCATAGGGGTAGCTAGTACGGGGATACCCACATAAGTCAGAAGGGGGAAGTTAGCTACTTTTATGTTTCTGTTTCATATAGTAACGGCATAGTTGTATAAAATACATATTCGGATGTAATAAAGCACTTTAAAACACGTCTCTTTGCAATAGCCTAGTCCGTACATACTCACGATGAACTCTACAATAGCTGGCCCAGTGACAACGTTCGCAATAATGTTTATTTGCTTTGCAGGAAAAATAAAAGTTGCAGGCCGTTTGAAACGTTCATTCAATGCATGAACAACAATCTGAGAATGATTCTAGAATATCAAATCCAAGGTTAAACTTTATTCAAGTGAAGCAAAATGAAGGAATTCGAAACTGGGTGTCGTTGAAAGTTTTATGTTTGAATTCACCGGTAGTCTCATTGCTCCAGGTTGCCTCCTTCATGATTGGTCCAGCATTTGTCACATGGAATAGCTTGACAGGGACATAGTTGCCATTGAATGTATGTGTCGCGTAAATGTAAATCGCATCATAGCCCTCTCCTTGATTGTGGAATCCCTGAAACCAATGCCATCGGTCAGCCTCAACTCCGTTAACAGTCTCGGTTCCATCGTATGAATAATAGAGTGGAATTTGAAACGGTCCTAATGGCAGCGGTGTTAACTTTTCACATGTCCGTGTTATCCAATTTATCTCATACTGAAAAAAATATGATGCGAAAATAATCAATCTAAATTCAACAACAGATGCAGGAACATTTTAAAGAGATGATTTAGATAATATTTGAAGGTCTCCTCGAGCCTTCTCCACTCTCTTCTGATAAAGCCAATTTCATGACAGGCGAAGAGTAATTTTGCATATGTTCAATTAAGAGAGGATGCATTAAGTCAACTGAACGATTAAGCAACCAGTGCTTTTTTATCATGAATACAAATGCATATTACCTTCTGGAGAAAGTTGGAAGAAACAAGAACGAATAAAAGGTACACAATACAAATTTACAGACCTTAGATCAATGTCAAAAATATTTTCAGCTTTTGAAGGATAGCTTTCCATTTGAAAATATTTGAATCATCACGCACTACTCTTTTATTTTTGCCTGCTTGAATTCAGAGCCTACAAAGGGTCTCTAAAAGGAGCTTTTAAGAAAAGATAAAAGGTCTATGGGAAATGCTGGAATAGTTTAAAGCTTGGGCGTGATGACCCACCGGGGGTCGGTAAATTTCCTGGTAGGCCCCTTAAAACTTTTTTATGTGAGCCCCTTGGATTTTTCTTCCCTTTAAGCTTTTATGATTTGTAACATCAGATTTGCGAGAAAAAACTAGTGAAATAAAGTCCTACGCTGCCTCCGCGACACTCATTATCATGATTTTCCCGGCCCATGGATATTCCTACCACGCCCCTGGTATAATGTGATGATATGAAAAAATTCATAGCTCTTTAAGATATCGCTAATAAGTAATTTTTTAATTTTAGTCGCGAGAACACAGAAGTGGCTAAATTCATATGCTGGGTAAGATCGTCCTATTACCATACCTGTGCAACGCCTGAGAAAATCAGCATTGTCGTGTCGATTCCATCTGAACCCAAAATATCCTCCCGGAATCTTCCATTGGCCTTTGTGTCTTGATATCTATAACCGTAAAGAATTAGAAATTAGGAAAGGTCTTTGGAACCTTGTGAGAAAATATGAACCTATTAAATCCACAACTGGGTATATATTTTTCATCGTGTTCTCTCGGACCCTTATGACGTTTTATGCGCTGAGCAGTGTCAAACGAAAAAGCTTTTAGTATGTCGTGAAATGTTTGCTTTTTTCAAAGCCATTTTCAAGTTCTGTACCGCCAAAAAATTTTTCACTATCATTTTTGCACCCCATGTACACGCTCTAACTTCCAATGGAAGAAGGGAATGGCCTTTGATACTAAACTTTATGCTAGACTAGACAACATATCCATGCAACATTACATGTGTTTAAGGGCTTAGGAACAAAAGCTTTAGTCAGGATTGTAAAAAAGAATCTACGCCATGCCTAGAAATTTCTAGCAATTCCTGGTTAAAGGGCAAATCCTGTTTAAGATTGATCAAGCCTTGTTTCACTAACGTTAAACAAATAATTATAAGCTAAGAACGTAAAATGCATATTTATCACCGATATGAATTACCATAAAATAAAATATGAAATAAATTGAATGAAAAACTGAAACAATGAAACACCTCTAATGAAAGGTAGAAAAAGTCACAAACATAAAATCAATATTTTAAAATGAATTTTCGTGAAATGCAAACCTGATGCCTGAAAATGTTGTGGTGACGCATCCCATTGGATTACATGTTTGCTTTTCGCCTGTATATGTCATTAAGTAGGATGTTGGAAACTTTGGCGGAACTTCGAATGGTTGACATGGGTTTTCAAGGCTCTCTGGACAAGCAGGACCATCGAAGCAGGCACATCTAAACAAAAATTTAAGTTAGAATTTGAGGGATTATCATTGAGAGGTGTGCGAGGATGGCTCAGTTGTTAGAGGCGCTGACTACAGACCCAAGGGCTCGAGTCCCTGACATGACCAAACTTTCACCCAGAGTGGGGAGGGTCGCCAGCTCTCTGTAATTCCAGGCGCAGGAATCACGAGGTGTGGTCACATCGAAAGGAAGGACCAGGACACTGCTCGATAAGCATAAGCTTCTCAGTGTCCTAAAAACTACCTTCGGATGCTAGGTAGCAACAAATACAATTACAATACAAATATATTATCATTGAACTACGAATTATTAGTTATCATTTAAATCTTCTAATAAAATTTTGTCTTTTTACACGAATCAGGTTTCAAACCGACCCATTTCTTGTTTAAAAAATTGTTTTTTTACCAACCCGCAAAATATCCTTAGAATTTTACAGACCACTACTGTGTCCAGTCCACAGTAACGATTTTGTCACCTGAGATCGCGATTTTGCTTTTTTTACCATAGAAATCATCAGTCTACACTTTAAAAAAAATATCAAGTTTGATATATGGACTTCATCGCATGCAGAATTTAATCAAGGATTTAATCTGTTTCCTGCATCACTATTCCTGCATCACATCACTTATTCAGTCACAAGAAATCAGAAATTGCAATCGCTGGCGATAAACGGTGAAGTAAGAAACTGTTAATTCCCTATGCATGCCGGGAAACTCGACTAGCCGGGAAACTCGCCTCCATTTAAACAGGCCCTTAATAACAGCCAAAAAGTACTGGATAACCAGGGCAACTCACTCCATGGAAATCTTGTACACCTTGGGCCGAAACTCTATTGTTTCATCAGAACTGAAAATCCTTTTGTTTTCATGGAAATCTCGTGCGTTATTTGCAAGAGTAATTCCCCTTCGCTTGATTAACATTAGGCCTGATGAGGCAGACAGTTCAGATATTTGATTTTTGGCACCAATCTATGATGTAATTTCAGTACATACCTTGTCCCTTCCTTGCATTCATATGTTTTATTGTTGTATGTTCCCGTGGTCGGGTTGATTAGACAGTCATAATACCCGACCAGGCCCTTTTGGCAGTAGTTCCCAGGGGGGCCAGTGGAACAGAAATCGTCAGCATCCTCCAAAGTGTCTTGCTGTGGCAACCAATACGAGGCAGCAAATGTTGACAAGACAGTGACTGCAATACTTAGGAGAACAGGGAAGTTGATTTGTGACGGCATCTCTAAAAAAAAATTATCATTCATAAAAAATTGTTGCATACGTCTTTCTAGTCTATGTTGATAACAAGTATAGTTTCATCTCAACATTAACGTACTTAAGGGTTCTCTCTACAGGTTACCCTTTTCTCCAGGCCCGTCGCTAGCTATTGTGCTCAAGGGGGGTTTTCAAGTCCCATTTACCGATAAAGTGGGTGAGCCATCCTTTATTTGCTGGCAAGTATGGAATTCTGCTGACTAAGCAGCTATAGATGGCAAAAATCTCACCGCTTTTGCAATTGAATTTTTTAGGGGGTGTCACACCCCACACGCCCATCTATAGCGATGGACCTACCTCTCTCAACCTTTAAAAGTGTACTCTACGGAAAGTTTCTATGATTAGAAGATAAAAAACAGTAGAGATAACGACATTGACCCTCATTGAACAGGAGTAGCTTATACCTCCTGCAGGATGCTTTGAATGAAATGAGATCAACTTTATCAATAAAAAATCGTCTGATCAACGAAGGATTATCCCTGGTTATTTGCAGTGTGATGTTGTTTGAATAGAAGAATCAGAGCTGAATCACGGTAAAGTTATTTTTCAAGCTTGAAATCCAAACAGGCTCACAAGCACATTCTGTCACGTGTAAGGCGATTAAAATAAAGACAATCATTCTTTAAATGGCGCAAAAATCCTTCAAGATGACCAGGAAGTAAGATCAAATGGCAGATGAAGCTTATCCAGCATATTGCAACATTTGCAACATGATAATGGGTCAAAACGTTAGAGTCAAAATTTTTAATCAGGATGTTAAAAATGTCCCTGCCTTTTTGTTTGGTACGCGCTCAAGCTCCTACACTCTCTGACAGGCACATTATCCCATCTAATACCAATTACCACCGCTGTTAGCTACTCTAGTTATTATGTATGAGCTTTATATGTCTGCATTTCTGCACCGATTTCTATGTTGGGCGCTACCAGATATCGAAGATTCGACTCAGCTAAAGTCTCAATGGACTTCAACAGTTTTATTTAGATATATATTTAGATATGAGGTATAATACTTCCTTACAAAATGGCTTTGAAAAAAGAAGAGAAAACGTTTTTCGAGGAAGTCCAGATTCCCCCAGTTTGTAAAAATGATTTCAGATCTTGCGTAAAGGTACCATTCAAGCCCGATAGGTTAACAATACGCGAGAAGTACCAAAGATGGTGCATTTCGAGGGCAGGTTAACGAGTATTTTTAAAAAAACGGGGTTTACAACATAATGTTGGGTATCTCGTCAAACTAAACGGCATCTTTGTTTCTTGGGTAGCCTTTGGCCCTTTGATTGACCACCGTCAGATGGCCCCACGGCCCCACGGCCACTGGCCGGAGGAAGGTTGTAGAAACAAAGAGAAATTGAAGAAGGCACCCAAAAATTTGAAAATCTTTATAGCCCTTAAAATTAAAAAAAAACAGCCATAAAAATAAAAAAATCAGAACTGACTTTTAAAAACCTCCTGTTTTTAAGTATGAATATGTTTGCTGAACAAGTTTGCACTGTGAAATTTAGGCATTAACGTTTTATAATGAAAATATTTGAATTGTACGATTTTTTATTAATTGATAAAATAATTTTGCTTACCACCGGTTTATAGAAGTATCTATAATCGAAAAAAAATTTCCAGTGTATCCCGTTTTCTGACCACGTCCATTTTTAACCCATTAAAATGAGGAAGATTTTATAGTACGATTTTCTTGGCCGGAGGAAGGTGGACAACCTTTCTGGACTCTGACCATCCTATGGCCGTTACTGACCATTTGGTTTTCTTATTACATTTGTGAAGTTCTTTGTTATGAATAAAACTTTTTTACAATTAATAGAATCGCTTTTAAACAAAATTTCACTCTTAGCGAAAGTGCCTCGAGGCTTAGATTGAACTGGACTCCAGAATAGACTTTAATCTCATTCTACACACTCGATGTTATGACCTCGTCTCAATAACCTCCAGCAATTGAGGAAAATTAGAACGACAAAGGGTTTTAAGGGTGATTACAACTAAACCTAATGCTAAATTTATGTTCTTATACTTTCATCTGAAAAGCGGAAAGCCGCACTTAAGATCTTCCTGAGAAATCAGAAATTAAGACAGGCGTCATGCTAATTTGAATGCCCCCGCCACCCCAGACTGGTAACGCTCTTCTTAAGCACGAAATGACCCAGGTTAGCCAGAAAGCTGCTTTTGCGAAAAACAAAGGAACTTTTAGTTAAAATATCAACTACAAGCAGGTATCAAAAAAGTCTAGGGGCTGAGTTATGCTGTTCTTTTCATGTCCATTTTCAACAAGTTTATTTATTCTGAGATTAAAGCGTGCGTCATTACCAATTCACTCCAGAGACGCGGGAGCGTGGGGGCTCTCAGTGGCGTTAGCTTCCCGATATTCACTTTTTCGACCACTCCCCCTACAATCAGTCAATAGGTTGCGTTTTTACTGAAATCGCATTTATGAAAACAAAATATGGTTGAAGGATATTTTTAATTCCTCGATATTTTGAGCCATTAATGAAAAGTTTATAAATAAAACAAGATTCGACTTATTTCAAGAATGAAAGAGGTGAGGGGCAAACCAGCCCATGGAAATCTCGCACACCTTAGATGGAATCCTGTTGTGTTTTAAAAACCATTCTATTTCGATGGAAATCGCGTACCCTATATGCAAAATTGCATCGCTCTTCGGAAAGAGGGAGACGGAAATTTTGACCCAAAAAATTTGCAATTGAATAAGTAACGTCCAAAATTTGAACAAGAAAAGTCAACTGGCTTGATGATTGATGAACAACTGTGTTCGAAGTTTCATGTGTCTAAAGACCAAATTTTCGAATCAATATGTTTGGCAAAAAACGTCATGCATCTCATTGTGGAAAATCTTGACGATAATTTAAGAACTTGCATGTTTAGTTTATAAATTTGTTTACATGAAAGAGTCAATGGCAGCGGCCGCAAAATGATGCAGATAATTATTCCAGTAATGAAATGATACAAGTTTGCTAAACAAAACTATATTCGAAATGTCGTTGCACAGTATACTTCACATTCTTGTTATTACGCACAAGGAAGGTTAGTAAACAAACATAAACATGCAAGAAAAAGCTCACAGCATCTCCGTGAGCAAGAACGTAAAACACATTGCGATTACCTTTCTATGACGTGTTGCTCTGCTAAACAGATATGCTAAAATCCACGGGTTAATGTACGTCTTTCTTCGATAAAGTCCAGCAAATTTCGATGTTTCCCGGTCTACGATTTTATCAGCTGCACCTCAAGTTTAGCATGTCACAATATCTGAGACTATTTGCGAGAACGCGTCTTTTTATACAAGCCAGTAAAGCTGGGCAATGCGCCAAGTTAAATGTTTCCAGACAATTTCTATCTTGTGTTTATTTTGATTGACATGTTAGTGATTCGACGTAATTGCTGGTGAGTTTTTATCGTGAGGTTAGTCGTCTGCGTTTAATCACGCGCGCAAAAGAACAAGCAAACACGCCCATTCAGGGGGTCAGCTAAAACTGTGTTTGTTTGTGTGTATTTGATTGTCTTCGCGACTATTCGAGTTAACTTTGCACGCTGATATTTGCTATCACATTTCTTTATTTGCAATTTTTTCATTTTGGGAAACGTTCTGCTACAAGATATGATCAGAAAACAGGGATTTGCATTCGGCGCACAAACCTGAATTGTACACGCGAGAACACGTCGAGAACATGCATACTCTGCAAACTGGGCAGTAATGACACCATTTCTTTTTATTACAGCTTGGGTAATGTTTACGGGCAGTGGCGTCGTCGTGTGATGGACTGGGCTGGACATTCCAATTTTCCCAAAGGTCAATTTTCTAGTTTCTTGAAATCCCTCAAACCTTTGGGGTTGGGGGTAGGGGGGGGGTGGAGGATGGTCAGATCGATTTCAATTTTCGTTTCTACAATCGCGTACTTTTAATGTTCCAAGACTACTAAACAACAGTATCACATGACATTTTTTTAATGAATTCAACAGTGACATATGAAATCTTAATGAATTTTTTCATCAGGTCGCAATTTAATTATTGTCCACTTTTATGGATGTTTCATGATAGAGTTTCATGAATCAGAGCTAGCCGAGTTGAAGAAAAAATATGGAACTATTCATCAGCACAATCTGCAACTGCCAATGATTGAAATATTCAAACGAAAAACAATCTAAATCCAACATTCATGAAAAACATTTTTACTGAGAGAGATATTTAATATAATCTGAGAAGTGAAAATCATTTGCCGTTGCCAAAAATGAAGACAATATCATACGGGATAGAGAATATTCAGTACAGAGGTCACCATTTGTAGTCCTCATTACCAAGGGAAATTAAAGATTCCAACACACTAGTTGAGTTCAAATGAAAAATAAAATTATGGCATGGAAATACTTGCATCTGCAGATTGTGCAAAATTTTCATTAACGATCTAGGGTTTTTGCCCGCAACTCGCGCGCTATCGCGCGCGAGTGAAGGGCTTATAGTCTGCCCCGCGTATAAGTAGCATATGGAAGCTTCAGTTCATGTTGTCAGCACTTTTTCAGCAGATTTTGTCACTTTTCTGCTGCCATGACAACTGTCAATCAATTTCATTGTCAATCAATCGGCTTTGTCGAGGAGGTCGTTAACCGCCACCTCTTTGTGCGGAAGGGAATTATCTTCGGAGCGTTGCTCTGCCAAGACTCTGTTAAAGGCCTTCGGTTTTTTGGCACGAAAACGGTGCTGCATCACATCTCTGTTCTCCGCAATGGATGGAAGTTTTGTTTCGAAGTTTTGGGAATCAAAACCAGTCGAATGCCACACTTTTCTCCCAAAAACTCGAGACCGTACGAGCAAAAGTTATGATTTTCGTGATTATCGAAAAATAAATGTCAAATCCTCGAAAAACTTCATGATTTTCAAAAGGGCGTTGGACTTAAATCAAAGGCAAACTGAACACCAAAAATTCTTGATAAAAAGAATAGTTTAGCATCAACTATTCCCAAGATGGTGTCTTCTTCGAATATCCTGACCTACATTTTCAAAACAATCATTATCAAGGAGCTAATTGTTTGCGGGCAGTACTAGCAAGAGCTATTTCTAGTTGTAGGTTTAGTATGGACATCGTGAAGTAAGTTTTAAATTATTTTGTTGGCGTTAATTAGCTTATTAGCTATTCACAGAACACATCAATTTTTTTATCTAATTTTTGACAATAGGCTGCTCATACTCTTACACTCTTCTTTATTTTTTCGACTGCCGGTTATTCTTACGAAGTGTGTTTTGTAAGAAAAACCGTGTATTTGAAAAACTACCACTTTAACAGGTATTAAACTCCTAGATGTATTTCCATATTAGGTGAAACCAATGACGGAATTCACCTCATTGGGTGCAACACATGAATCTTGAAAATTTGAGTTTAGTTATAAACTAATCTAATTTTGCAAATCATACAAGCGCCAGAGTATTTTCTCTGATAAAGTCCAGCTTTAACGGCGAAAAATTGAAAGACACATTTTGCAGCCATGATCAATGCTTGCCTATAAAAATGATTTACTTTCCCACAGATAATTCCTCCGAAATGAATAACAGTTTTCATGAATGCATTGCGTGAATAAGGTCATTGGGACCAAGGATCAAAGATTGTATTATGCATTGTAACAGTTTTACGAAACAGATTGGAGCAAAGTCTTTGGTTAAAGTTGCTTTTTAGCAAAACGAAAAAAGGTCAGAGTGAACGCTTGATCTATGGTGACACATTACCTTGAACTAACAATCATTGGATTTCTTAAAATAAGTTCTTAGAGCTCCATAGAAATCCGTGCCATATTTTTGCATGTAAGTCATTTCAGGAAAAATAACCTTCGACGGAATAGAGGCAGCTGCTGATCGAATTTCTATAGAATCCAGAATTTCTTCTGAAAATAGTTTATATCTCATTTATAACTCTTCAAATTAAGTCAGATCCCCATTTTCTTGCATGCATCTCATTAAACTTCAAACTTTTTTGAAACATTGCTGCAGTATGACTCGCACTTATGCTTATATTTAACAGCTGATTAGCAACGTCTGTTGAAAACATGAGAACTTGTGCTGAAATTGCTTGCTCAACAAATCTCATGAAGAAAGTAACAATGACTGGTTCATCTCTTTTATCAGTTTTGGCAGGAGGCATCCCAAACCCTCATTCATAACAATAACTCAGATCTGAAAAGTGCATACTCCAGTCAGTATTAATCAAAGTACGCGCTTTTTATGACACTTGGCTCAAGTTTCAGCCCGGCGTTTCTTATCATGTGTTTCCTATCTTGTTTCTTATTTCTGTAATCGAATTTCCAGGATGTCGCACTTGTACCTGCAGTTTTATCTTCAGCAAAGGAAAAAGACTTGATATAATAGGGTCGTCAGAAACCGGGGGCTAGGGGGCTGGAGCCCCCAAATAATTATTAAACCATTATAACAGTATGCGGAATGAGCAGGAATACAAAGGGCAGCCTCCCCAATATGAATTTCGTTCTGAAGGCACTGTATAACGATGTCAATTTTTGTAAGGTTGTCACTGAAACTGTTGTTTTCTAATGCTATTTTGCTCGCCGCTCCCTGTTGTTCTGTTGCTGGTATTTTATTTCTTGAGTTTTGTCGAATTTCAGCCTGCCTTGTTTTTTATGTTGTTCTTATTTTCGGGCAAATCTCAGCCTAGTGTTTCTTATAAGAATCGTTCTCAAAGAAAGGCATTTACCTTAGGAAAGATTGAATTATTGGGGCACCATTGTTCGCGAACAATCTCAATGAAACAAATTTTTCTAAAAGGTTTATAAAAATTTTTAAAAGGGGTACCAACCCAACAATACGAGCTTCGGCCATGAAAGGATTCAAGAAATCTGCTCATCTTTCTTATGATTTACGTGATGTACACTCTTTTTTTATAAAAACCAGTAAATTTCAGTTCAGGCTGACTGTTCTTAATTTTTTCGAAAATCTGAGGCTGGATTGTTCTTAATTTGTTCTTAAATTAAGAGGGTGTAAGCAGTGCTATTGCTAGCTTTTTCGCTCTAAGGAGGTGTTCAGGCCTCATTTGCCAGCAAAGTGAGTGAGACAGCCTTAATTTGCTGACAAATTTGAATATTCACTGAAAAAGCACCCACACATCGCTAAAAATCCTCGATTTTGAGAAAAGACGTTGTTCAAAATTGCATGTTGAAGAAGCTCAGCCTCAGCTTGTTCTTAATTTGTTCTTAACTTTTGACCAGTTTTGAGGCTCGTGTTCTTTTAAAAAAAAGAGTGTATACACATAGATCGGAAGACATAAATTTGTGAAACAGGCTGTAAACAGGTTTTAGACTTAGCCCTGTTATTCATGTTAAAGAATTTTATATATAGGTACAAACATACATAAATTATAATATTTTTTAACAGCGGGCACTATGGGTACTATCAGTGGCGTGGTGGCAGGGGGGGCAGGGGGGCCATGGCCCCCCTGAATAGGGGCGCAAACGGAGATAAGGGGGCGCCAAAATTTATTGCTTGTAATAATTGGCTAGGAACATCAAAATTGATCGTACATGGGTAGAACACTTTGCTGTAACTTGCTGTGAACAATCTAATAAAACGTGTGCTTCTACAATGGAAGCACGTTGCGCTGCCATGACCCAATCAACATTTGTGTCATATGTTTTCGTGTTAACTATTTACGTGGCTTCATGTTTAGCACGCCAACTAACGAAGATTTTACGTATGCCAAAAAATTTTTCCATTAGTTTCTACTCGGAACGCCAAAAAGCCTGAGTGTACGCCAAAGATCTTCGGGCCAAAGTACATGGAATGCACCCTGGCAATCAATACAGCAGCTTCTTGTTATTAACATCGATGTGAACCAAAGGTCACCCTTTTTTCCCCAGCGCATGAATCTACCCCTCCCAAATTTTTCAAAAAAATCAAAAATCAATGTTTTGCTGAGCATCGTCGAACTGTCTATTCTGAGAGGTGTAGTAATTTGTTAAATTTTAGTCTGGGAGATGCATTTTTAGCCATTCTAGAAGGCTTGATTTCAAAAATTTTCTTCCGCGTCGGACCCAACCATGGTGGGTCCTCCTTTATCACTAAACTTGATCCTTAGCCCAACACCAGATTCAATTTTGTGCCACCGCCTCTGTCCGATTCAATAGTGCAATTCAATGCTTGAAACTTTCATGTTTTTTGAAAGAACTACTATTTAATATCTACTAAAGAATAACAATTTTGAACCATATTTGCATATCATACATCATATATGCGATGACACTAGGCTGATAAAATCGCCCATAAGCAGTGGCGAAATGGAGAAAGGTAACCTTCAGTTAAAAAACTAAGGAGCCCGAAACAATAATTTGCTCTACGTTATTTTACTCTGAAGCTGGTATTCTGGGTATAATAAACGAGTAGCCTGTATGATATGAAACATCAGTGTAATTGAATAAAATGTCTTTT